CACATATAATATAGCTGAAATGGCAGCAATGTGCATGGCCCAGAGCCAAAGATAATTTTCAATTATCCAGCTGCAATTATAACAATAACACACTGGAGAGAATATAAGCAGAGGTCAAATCTTTGTTTGTCCTTATTGCTATTCTGCTTCGGTTTATGGTACTTGTATCCTTATAATATGAAACACGAATTCTCTTTAACTGTTTTTTTTAGCTACCTCTTTGCTGCCCCTTATTATTATGGGTTCTATAATAATCGTCTTCAAGCATATTGCAAGCAGAATCTGGAAATGAATGTCACTGTGGAAAATGTGCTTCAGGTAATTGCTACTAATGAATCAATTTGGAACTAATTCTAATTATCTCAATATATTTTTTCTAGGGAATAATCAATTGAAAATTCCAAAAATAAGTACTGCAGAGTTTGCAAGATAGGACTATATGGTCTGATTGGTTTCTAGATTTATCTCTCTCTATGGTCTACCTATCTCCATGGTCAATATAGAGTTCAGTGCATTCCTTTTTTGAAATTATTGATTACAAAAAATATATTACAAAAAATTGTAATATACAAATTATTTAATATATCTTAAAACGATGATAAGGAATATCCATATTTCCTAATTAGGAATAATGTGGTTCATTCATTAAATATTTCTAAATATTTAATTGTAGTGACTTACCAATTCCCTTTTTTCTTTACTGGTTTTATACAAGAATGGAAGGTAAATTATACATTGTGTGGGTTATAATAGTGCAGTCCCTTTTCATTCATATGAATCATCTCAAATCATGGAAAATGGCCAATTGGCAAACCAGCAGATGATTTCAGATTATATAGGACAAATCTTAGTATCTGAATGTCCCCATGCTCTGAAGAATCCCTGGGAGACCAGAGCCATCATATACTTCCCCAATAGTGTAAAGCTGATAAGTCATTAAACTAGACCCTGCCATTCAAAATGTATCTGGTTCTATGTTTTTGTGAAGCTCAAGGATGCTAAACTTCTGTAAAGTTTGTTATATGTGTATTTAGTAAGACTGTAAAGAGATTTGGTTTGAAAGCAAAATATGGTTTGGAGAATATCTATAGGCATATGGCACTTGTTGGAAATATAGGTAGTCCTTGATTTATGACTGGTCAGTTAGCAACACCGTTCAAAGTTACAACAGACCACCTAAAAAATACTTATGACTCAGTCCCGAAGTTATTTCCACGGTGTCACTCCTGCACTCATTCGCTCTTACCACTGTCTACAGAGATGCTGCAGCATGCTGCCCTACCACTTTTTTCCCTCCCTCATTCTGCCCTGCTGGGTCCCCACAGGCACTGGGCCTGCTTTGCCAACCCATTGGGTTCCACACATGCCTCCCCCTCTGTCACTGACCGCTCACGTACTTTTTGAAGACCTCTAGAGCTCAGAAGGTCGAGTAGGAAGGAGCACAGGCTGCTCCGTTGCTGGGTCAAATGGCACAATTCCACAAGTGGCTATTTTTTTCTCAGCAAAAAATAACACTGGTAAAGCTCTGTTTTCCTTTCTTCACTAGACACAAGCCTTAGCTTATAGAGTCATTTTGATGCAAGAAATTTGTTTTTTTTCTTCTTCAGATTTTAGAGGCAGCTGACAGGACCCAGGCACTGGACATGAAGAGACATTGCCTATATATCATTGTTCACCAGTTCACCAAGGTTGGTTGGATGTTTTCTGGGGTTCTGGGCATCTGCTGTCCTCTTTCACTGCCATGGTTGAAAACAGCTTAAGGTAGTCCTCATTTTCATTCTTGTTGCTCCCTTTGGATTGTTTGCTATGCATTTTTAATCTGCCTTGATTAATCTTCAGTGTTCCTTACCCAATGTCTCCCTTTAAATGTTTCCTCTTCTTCGTTCTTCTGTTAGTATTGGTCTTGTAATATATTGATACATATAAGCGTGTGTATGTGTATAATATTTATATTTAATTATTTATAAGAAGAATACGTGTCCTACAATTAAGGCTGTATTATAATTAAATTATATATTACATTTACATTGTTTACAAGTGTGAAATTAATTCTACAGAATCCAAGAAGAGTTTAGTTATATGTTTCTTTTTTTTTCTTTTTTCTTTTTTTTAGTGTATGGTGTACATAGCCAAGGAAGCCTACAGTGCTTTTTAACCACAGAGTAGTTTTGGTAGCCTAAGATTGCTACCGTAGTTCATTTTGTTCGTGCATGTGTGCTGTCCACAGTACATGCTGGCTTGCAATGTTTGGGGGGGGATGTCAGGTCATCTGGCTTTCTTCTGCCGATCTCACCTCGCATCTAGGCAGGTCTGACACCAGCTTCTGCATGAAACATCGCTAGTTTTTCTCACCGAAGTAGTACCTTTTTATCTTCTTGCATTTTTACATGCTTTCAAACTGTTAGGTTGGCAGAAGCTAAAAGCAAATGACGGGAGCTCACTCCACCGGGTGGTCCTGTGGGCTTGAACCGCTGGAATGCTGACCATCTCTGGCTCACAAATCCATGTCTTTAAGTCGCTGCACCACTGCACCCCTTTATATGTTTCAATAATAGCAACTCCTACAGTAGCATAACTCATCTATGCAATATCATAATCATTACATTTCAAGGTCAATTTTTATACTTTGCATAGCTGGACAAAGATAGGAAGAGCTCCTATGTTTTATTAATAGCAGCTCTTCCTATCTTTGTCCAGCTATGCATTGTATATAATTTGACCTTGAAATGTAATGGTTGTCATATAGCATAGACAAGTTATATGATCAGAGGGAAAATAATTCAAAATCCATAGCACAAGTCTATTAGGGCTAGAGAAAGATACAGCATTTAACTACAATAGGATCAATTGAAAGCCATGTTTATTATTACTTTTTTTTCAGGTTGGTTGGTTGCAATGCAGTCCTACAAGGCTATACTTGTAGAAATATTCTGTAATAATACACAGATTGACTGATATTTGGGAAGTCATCAAGAAATTTTCCTACTAAATCCAAACTATATTTCCCTTTTAAAATTAGAAATTTGGAGATTGGATTTATTGTATTTAGCTATATCTTTAATTATTTAAATTTTTAAGCACTATAAACATGTTAATATTTTAAGATTTCATCTGTTAAAATCCATTGTTTAAACGTCTTTTCTATTGATTTTTTTCAAGAATCTCATCATTAATTTTCAAAAGCTACATCTTGTAGGAATGAGAGCTAGAACAAAGCAATAGAAAAACTTAAATATTAACTGTGTCTTCTCATTATTGCTAAACTTGCTTGTTTCATGGAAGGAAAAACATGTTCCATTACATTAGTTTTCTGTATTAAGATTAGGTTCATTATGCTCAGTTGAAAAAATAAAATATTAGTTTGTACAAAACATATTACTCGATTCATGGCAATAACTAACCATTTCCCCTTTATCTCATCTGTTGAAGGTATCCAAGCTGCCAAATCTTCGGTCTCTCAGTCAACCTCTTCTACTTGACATCATAGAATCATTAGCAAATCACATATCAGACAAACAGTGTGCTGAGCTTGGAGCAGATATTTAAGATTTTGTTTATTCTGCATCTTGCATATTTTCTTCTAAGAGATTACACTCTTCCTATCTATAAAGATATTTAATATCAATAATACACTTTCGATTCTTGTCAGAACAATGTTGCTAAATCGAAAATGCAGTCTCTAAAAATTGGACACAACTGAATGGAACAAAAAAATATTACACACGCAGACATATTGGGATGCTTAAGGTATAAAAAGCAAAGGAATACTGTTCTTTCCAAAAACAAGTTATGCAGTGAAACAACAAAAATATTCCTCTTTCTTTAGCATATAATGACTTCTTTTGACAATCTACATCCAAGCTATATTATTTTAAGATGTCATCAAAGACTTTCTTCAGAACATTGAATTGCCACCCCCCCCTTTGCAACACTTGCCTCTTTATGTATGTCCTAAAAAGTTTATTGTACTTTTATTTGTTGTTATATTATGAGCCTCCCAGAGTCCTTTGGAAGTTGGGTAATTCCTAAATCAAAACAAATAAATTGTAGTAAATTTATAAAGTTACACTGGGTGAAAATATAGACATGGAATCTTTAAAAAGTCTTTTAAAATTAACTACACATTTCAAACTCTCTTGTTCTACATGTAATTTGAAATATTCACATAGACAGAGTTGGATAGCATACAAGTTTAATAAATCATTATCATCCTCATCCTCATCATTGTGGAAAAATCCTTATCAGCCTACTAGAGTGTGTTTTAAAAGATGGATTCATATATCAACTAAGCCAAATGAGTACATTTCGTGCAACTATGCCAACACCAAACAAATTACTTTATGATATAACCTGATAGGGGAAACTATTCAGTATGTTCATAGCACTTAATATTTTCAGAAAAATTATCTGAATTGCCAAGTTGTTGTTTTTCTCTAGGTACTTCTATAGATCTGTTTATTCTACTTCTATAGATTTGTTTATTAAAAATTCCTGAATAAAACAACTTCAGTTTTCTAAAAGGGCATATTTTAGGGGGGGGGGGAATACATGTTTCTGTTTTGTTTTAGTATACCAGAAGCTCAACAACTACAAGCAGTCCTTGACTTATGTCTCTTTGTTTAATGAATGATTCAAAGTTGCAACAGTCTTGGAAAAAGTGCTTGAGAAGCACTTGGATAGACAATGGAAAACGCCAGATGTTGATGAACTACAGTTCTCAGCATCCATTGTCACTGGCTCTGCTGGGGCTACTAAGAGACTTCCACTTTTTTTTAAAAATATAAGCTCAGTAAGTTGCTGTAGCTGGAACAATTTATCTTCTTTACCCTTGCTCAAAAAGAAATACTGTACTTGCTGTGAAAATGTGGATATTCTACTTACATTTGTCTTAAGACCGATGGTATGATTCTTAATGGCTATTCAGCAGCTATTATAATTTTCTTTTCTGTTAAATATTATGTTCTTTATCCATCTAATTATGGATATATGTGTGAAAAAGCATATATATTTTCTGCCATTCTTCTTAAGAAAATCTTATTTATCTACATTTATCCAAGAACAAATGTCTCAGAACTAATAAAATAAATCCTATATTGATTTTACAACAGATGGCGGGTGATGAGGTAAAAGAAATTATATGAATTAATAGCAGTTTCTTCATAATCTTAATAACTAGGGAATGTCAGTATTGGTATTTTAACTACTAGCATTCTGCTTATTCAGACACATGCCTACACTTGTCCTAAATCTCAGTTGGCCTCAGTGATACTTTCAACTAATTTTAAACATTAACTAAAACGGTAGGCATATATTTTAATTAACTAATTAAAAGTACATAATTTTAAAATTAGTTAATATTTAAAATTATGTACTTTTAATTAGTTAATTAAAATATATGCCTTCCGTCTTAAAACCAAACTTTGGGTGGCTCGCAACCAAAGCATAATGTATTTAAACAGTAGAAACAAAACAAAAATAAATCTAGGAACAGAAGAAATTGGCACCACAATCAAACGTCCCAATGCAGCTCACAATAATATCCAGTGCTTTTTTTCTATAAAAAAAAAAAAAAAAGGTGCCGGAACTCACACACGTCATACAACCCGCCTTGCCTACCCTACAAGGTTCCATCCAAAAAAGGTGCCGGAACTCCGTTCTGGGCGTTCGATGAGAAAAAAAAGCCCTGGTAATATCTAACTTTGACTTCACCCTATTCCAATGCTTGAAGGAAAAGCCAGCCAGTGCTTTCTGGGAAGTTAAAAAGGGTAGGCTTTCAAAGGGAAAAGTGTTCCATAGGGCAGGGGCTGTGACAGAAAAGACATATTTTCCATTTCTTCCAAGATGGTAACAATTAAGAGACTTTGAGCACGCCTACTTTATCTGAATTGATGGGATGGGTGGATATTGTCAAAAGTAACCCTGTTACATTATATATATAACTTTTATTAAAACTTTTAAAAAAGAAGATAAAAACTAATCCAAACTAATTTATAAAATAAGGAAGAAAAGAAAAACAGAAAAGTACAAGAAAAAGGTTAAGGAAATCTAGAAAAGAAAAAAGATACAAACAAGAGACTTCTGATATTCTTCACAGCAATTATAAGCACAATTATATTTTAACCTCGCTCTCTAAAGTTACATCGTGATATAGTTTTTTTCTATAATCTATCCTGTCTATCAAAGCATAAATCACAAGTTCATTTTTTTCATTTTTATACTAAAAGTCAAAAACAGTTCTCCAGGCACAAATCAATTTATAATTCATAGGCTAGAATTATAGAAAAGTCAATACTTTACTGCCCAATGTGGAATCCTCTTCAATGTCTTGTATCTGCTGTGGCGGTCTCATCTGTCATTGTCGCTTCCATTTGCATTCTCTCCAAATCTTTACATTTTTTCTTGCTTTCAATCTGAATCTATGCAGTTTAAAAATAAAAATCACTCTTTCCAATTTACTGGACCTAAATGGAATTTCCTTCTGTTTAAGTTTGTCAGAAAAAAAATACATTTTTTTTTCTTAAGTACCCAAACTGGAATTTCCTTAAGTAAAATTACATCTGTAATTTGTTTTGTGATTTTTTGTTTTTTTTTTCAAAACAAAAACACATGCCTTTATTTTAGAAACTGGTTGGATTAATACTAGCCAACTTTCTAGTGGAGGGAGACGCAAAAACACAATCTTTGCTGTTCATCCTTTCAGCTTTCTGTACCATCTCTCACACTGCTGCAGCAAATTTCTGAATCCTTCACAAGTTACTTTTCATGGGCACACAGAACTGCATGGATGAATTGCAGAGATGGCCTTTCTTCTTAAGTGTTCTGTAAGGCAATCCATAAAACTTACTTTGCAAAATATGGAAATCATCATTTTTGACTATAAGCAATTTAGTACAATATGTGGCTTATTGATTGAGGAAGAAAAGGAATTCCCATGCTATAATTAATGTTCTAAAAAGGAAGATAGCTGGAGCTTTGTCCATTGAAGACTACAGATACTATCTATTTGGAAGTCTGGCATTCTTGGAATTTCATTTTCCCAGGATTTGCATTAACACGGACTCCATTGACTGTGCCCAAATGTAATTTTCTTCATGACTACATGTTGCAATCTCAATCACATAAGTACTAATATCTCTCAGAAGTAACATATTAAGAAGAAATATTTGCAAGGTAACAGCCTGATAAGATGGCATTAAAATGTATTAGAAGTAAACAGTATTACTTTAAACATGCAGGTTGTTTTACAGTAGTTTTAAAGTAAAATTTAAGTATTCAAAAAAAATCTAAAATTACACCCAATATCTATCTCAACATTCAAGCAAGCACATTCATCTTTTTTCTAAATACAAATTTCAGCAAAACATTCTAAAGACCTACCAGGTTTTCCCCAAAATAAGAGCCACCCCTAATATAAGCCCTACCCCCAAAAGAAGCCTGGGGGGATGGGCATAGCCAGCACAAGAGGCAGTGAGCTCACAGGGGCTGATGGTGTCTGGCAGCAGCCACAGCCCACCAGCCCTTGGCCGCAGTGCAGGTAAGTCTGAGCGCAGAGGCAGAGGTGGAGGACAGGCAGGTGATCCAGCCGTGCTGCATAGCAGTCTGGCTCACAGGAGACTCATGGGAGGTTTGTGCGGTGGCACCGGCAGCAGGCAGAGGCACAGGCATGGGGGGGAGGAAGGCAATCCTGGCATGGCCATGGGCAAGCAGAAAGACAGGATGGAGTGGGCGTTGCGTCAGGATCGCCTGCCTCCTCCCTGTGTCTCGGCCTCCACCTGCTGCTGCCATTGCACAAGCCTTCCACAAGCCAGGCAGCCACGCAGCATGTTCAGATTACCTGCCCCCCCGTGCCTCTGGCTCCGCCACGCACTTTTCACCGAGAGGGAGACTAGAAGCTTCAACTGCTTGCAAATGGGGTGCTTTTAAATGGAGTGATTAGCTCCATTTCAAAGCGCCCCATTTGCAAGCAGACGAAGCTTCCAGTCTCCCTCTCGGTGAAAAGTGTTTGGGCACCTATGGGGCACTTGGGAATGGAGCAAATTGCTCCATTTCCAAGTGCCCCATAGGTGCTCAAATACTTTTCGCCAGGACGGAGAAATGATGGACACTGGAAGCTTCGTCTGCTTGCAAATGGGGCGCTTTGAAACAGAGCAATCAGCTCCATTTCAAAGGGCCCATTTGTAAGCAGAGGAAGCTTCCAGTCTCCAACATTTATCTGTCTGGGCAAAAAGTGCATCTGCCCTGGGAAGCCCTGTAAGCCGTTGTGGCCGCGAGCAAGCAGATGGTGGGAGTGAGTGGGCGGGTGGCCGCAAAATAAGGCATCCCCTGAAAATAAGACCTAATGGGTCTTTTGGTCCCCCCCCCCCAAAAAAGGCCTGCTCTTATTTTCGGGGAACACGGTATGTAAATAGCAGCTGGTGCAGCTTCAAATACATCTCCCCCTGGAATATTACTTTATTTGTTTAGAGATATGACATTTTTCATGTCCAAAATTAAATAAAATCTTATAGAAAAATGTTGGCCCATAATTTTGCACATCAATTATACCGCCAATATGTTATTCTTTTAAAAAATTGACTGGGGTCCTTTTATGTGCAGTTGTTCTCTCTCTCTCTCTCTCTCTCACTATATGTGTGTGTGGTAATAATTTATGAAAAAAATATTTTGTATTATTTATAAAAATGCTTATGAATTTACTTTATGGAGTCTCCTTAAAAATCGTTATAACATTTAAGGTGCTATCACAGGCATTTGATATATCAATGATAAAATTATTCTCTTACATTTTAACTGTTAAAAACAGTCATATGATTGATTTTTATTTTTCAATTATTAAGTAACAGATGAAGTGGATTTTATTCCATAAAAGCTTATACTGTTATACATATACAGTATTTAGGGTGCAATAATATGGTGTCAGCCTTTGTAGGTTAAATTAAAGCATAATATCTGTGTTAAGAATATCTGCATTTAAACTCAACATTTTATTCTTGAATAAATAAGTTATGAATACCTATCACATCTACACAGGACTAAATACTCTCTTCTTATTTAATCAGTCAATATGCTGGATATATATTGAGGAAGGTATTTACAAAAATAGCATGTTTCTAAACCTGGAGGAAGGAACATCAGTAACCTGCACTATCCTGATGAACTACTGATAACTGAAAATGGAAATGAAGTTCTAGTAAGGAAAGTGGAGCACAGTGAACAAATGGGATTAATCTATATAAATAAAAATGAAAATGTTCGTTTGTTCAAAATCTTAAATCTCCAAAAGTTCTTCACCGAGTGCTTTGAAATTTGACACAATGTTGCATTCAAATATGTGCGTATTTTTATATACCTACTATTATATAGATGTATAGCTGTCATACCTGTGACAGGTAAAAACATGCTTTTTTGGAAAAACAGCGCCATCTGTTGGACGTAAAAGCAACACACGTTAGCATTGTGAAATTAAACATTACAAAAGTGCGCTTTCTCTTTTCTTTCTTTTTTATTTAACCAGACTGAGCCACAGCAATGCGTGGCCAGCTAGTGTTAAATATAAACAGGGCTTTTTTTCAGCCGGAACGCGGCGGAACCGCGTTCCGGCACCTTTTTCCGGGCCGGCCGCACCGGAAATAGCCCCTCCCACACCGGAAATAGCCCCTCCCAAATTTTACTTGCATTCCTGTTCTCTAAAGGGGCGGTCCTAGGGTTTGATGAGGGCGTGGCCAGGTTTGAGTTCCGCCACCTTTTC